TCCTCTCAAGATAAGTCGACGTAAATTAGTAAGTTTCCCGATGCCTAAAGGAATAGGACCATCCAGATTATTTTGGCCGAGAGAGAAACGATTAAGGCTCACAAGGTTTCCGATACCTGAAGGAATGGTTCCATGCACTTGAGTTTGAAACATCATAAATGATCTGAGGTTAGTGGACAAATTCGTAATCGACTCCGGCAACGAACCGCTTAAAAAGTTTTGACCAACTTCAAGAAGCTCAAGGTTTGTGCAGTTAGTTGTTGGGTGCTAAATACCCACACGCAAGTGTACGTATCGCAAACAAGTAGTAAAGTAGACTCGTGAGAGTCGGATGTCGATCCCACAGGGAATACGCAAATTATTTAATCCTAAGTACCAAATTTTAACAATTACGATTTTTATCCAGCCTACGCAAGGTTGTCAAATTAATTAACTAAATAAATTAAACTAATTATGAAAGCAAATAAACACGAGAAAATATCAATAAAAACGGACCTAGGATTTTATCTTCCCCCTATGCAAGAATTGCTCACCCAAAACCTCTCAATTATGAAATATATGATTCATGATTATTAACCCGAGACACTAATTTACTCATAACCCGCTGTCGCGTGTATTATGAGTCTATTATTCATACACGATTCACTATATGTCTATGCAAACCAATTATAAATAAAGCATTAACTCACAAGTCTCGTAAATGGCTACCTAAGGTGATATCTGTATGTCTACGACACCACATGCAATTGACACACTCATCCGGTGAAAACTACTCGAAGGCTCTTATACTTACCGTCTAATTATCAAAATAGCTCTGTCAAGTCAATCCCAATAATCACAGATAAAGCACATAAATTGATCAAGTTCATGCACTAACAATCATAACAAGTATAAGAAATAATCATAAAATCATAATTGCATAATCTCAAGAAAACGGGTTCACAATCCCCACATAGGGTTCCAACAAAATCCTAGATTAAAAACTTAGCTACTCATAACGAAAAACATAAAAGTAATAAAAATCATAAAAGCTATAAATAAAAGTCAAAGAGGGGAACTAGGATGAAGATTCGTCAAGTCTTCGTCTTCGTTCTTGTGCTCCTTGATCGCGTGTAGAAAGATGAAAAAATAAAAACCTAAAGATTTAAGATAAAAGGTAAAAGATATCTCTAATTGTGTGCTTGTGGCCTTTAAATAGGGTGCAAAAATATAATAGGGCGGGTTTCCTTGTGTAATTAAAATTCCTTCACTGCGCCTTCACGTCCATCCGGACGGCCGTGCGAGATTATGCTTTAAAATCCGCACGGCCGCGCGGGCTTTAATTCTGCAGGAAATCTGATTTTTTTCACTTTTGGCCCACTTTTTCTCTGAATTTGCAGTTTTCACCCCAAAAGTTGTCAATTCTCCAATTTGCACCTAAAATACAAATAATAGCCATTTTAAGCACCAATTATCATTAAAACACACCAAAAGCTCCAATTAAAAGGTATAATTAAGTGTATAAATATACACTTAACATTAGTCAACGATGTAATAAAACTTATATCATCTTTAATCGGATTAGAACCAAAACCGAATCGCACAAGACGTGTTAGTTTCTCGACCCCTCTCGGCATTGGCCCCGTAAAGTTGTTCTCGAGAAACATTATTTCTTCAAGAGAAGTCGCATTTGAGAGAGAAACGGGTACCGGCCCGGTAAATTGGTTTGTATTCAAATAAAGAACCTTCAAGTTTGGAAGTGTGAGGCCTATTGTAGAAGGTATGGTTCCTTGGAGTCGATTACTACCGAGATCAAGCACGAGAAGATCGGTTATATTGAATAAGCCGGTGGGAATTGAGCCGGTTAAATTGTTCCCACTAAGGTATAGAAATGCTAGGCTTCGAAGTTGGGCTAATGACTCGGGAATTTCGCCTTGCAAACCGCACGACATTAAACCTAGCGCGGAGAGAGAAGAAAGGTTCCCTAAGAATTTCGGGATAGGCCCCGAAAACGCGTTCTTTCCTAAGCCTAGAGTTTGGAGATTGTGCATGGACGCGAGCTCGGGCGGTATAGTTCCCGAGAGATTGTTGTCAATCAAGTTAAGAGAGAGTAGGTTTTTGCAGTTGGAGAGGTTTCTCGGGATTGGTCCCGAGAAAGAGTTGTTGTTTAAATCCGCGAATTGAATTCGTCTTAAAAGACCGATTTCTTGCGGGATTTGGCCGTGGAGACTATTGTTTTGGAAATTAATTTGTCTAAGGAATGAGAGATTACCTATGTGAGGTGAAAGTGATCCCACCAAGCCTAGAGAATCCAAGTTTATGGCAACAACTCTATCGGGATGCATGCGGCCGCATACGATTCCGTTCCATCTGCAATAGTCGTTTGTAGTTCGATTCCACGAATTCAGAGCTCCGTTTGGATCGACAACTATCGCTTCTTTCAAGGCCAACAATGAAAGCAAATCCGTTTGCTTACTTTTGGAGCATGTTGCTGAGAGTGTACAAGGCAAAACAAGAAAATATTAAGATAGATAAAATTACATTTGAATTTGCCATAGGATTTTTTTTTCTTTTAGAGTAATACGTGTATTTGATTTATTTTACTATCCATATATATATAATAATAAAAAATAATAAGAATAATAATAAATCAACAAAAAAGAAAAAAACAAGAGAGAGAAATGGGGGAGGAAATTACAAAGGATGAATATTCTAAATTCCAAGTCCCACTAACTATTTTATTTTAAAATTCTGCCCAAAAATCTTTATTTAATGGTTGATTGATAGTGTCGGAGATGTTTCAATCAACAAAGACTTTGACTTGGGTTCTCTCACTTGTTAATTTCCTTTTTAATTTCATACGTAGTTCTGTATAAGGTTGATTTAAATTCGATTTCAGAACATGAAACAAATTTAGATAACCTGGAGTATAAATAGGGGTAGAGTATAAATAGGGGTATTTACAATGTTGTCAGAATCGGGTCGGACATAAAATCAGATGGATATTTGTGTCATGGTTGGACTGGTTCAACCGAGTTCGATCTGGGTTTTTTTTTTAATTATTTTATATGCATATAAATACACCCAAACAAACAGTTACCTCGTTAAACAACGTATCAAAGACTTTAATAAAATTAAAAACCCATCTATAATAATAATGTGTCTCATCAAAATCACGTATAAATTAGTCAATTAAAAAAACAAAATCACAAACATCCATGTACGTGTACAAGGGTTAAGAAAGAATTTTTTTTTTGGTTGTAATCCCTTCTGACAATGTTTGGAAGTGTTTTAGACCTTATTTCCATTTTGTGTTGGGAAAGATATTTTGGAGAAAAAAAAAAGTTTGTTTATATTGAAAGGAAAAATAAAATGCAGTTGTAGTCAAATTATGTTTAAAGATGGTGATAAAAAAATATTTTCTAAGAATCATTTGAAAAATAAATAACGTTTTTTTATTTTTTAGCGAGCACGTGTTTTACATAATTAACTTTCAGAAGTCAAATTATGTTTGAAGGAATTTTTTATTTTAATTATTTGAGAATTTATTTTGAAAAAGTTAACAAGCATACATTTATTTTGAGATAACATTGGGAAGAAAATGAAATTAAAGACGATAACAAACATTGTTTTAGAGAGAGAGGGGAGGGGTAAATGGCAAATAAGTCCACGACAACAACATTTAATTAAAAAAAAAAGACGTTCAATTTTTTTGTCTTCTAAATAAATTCAGCTTATTCAAACTTAATTATAAAAAAAACATTTTTATATATACCAAAATTAGTCTCAATTCTTTGAAATCATAATTCAACTCTAATTTTATGATTTACACCCTAATTTAGTGCAATTTCACAAATTAGCCAAATTTGATCCGCCACCGCCGGAGACCGCTGGACAGACGCCGTTGACCGTCGGTCTCTGATGTTGAATTTTTTTTTTGAAAACTTTTTTTTTCTGAACTTTTTTTCTTCATAAAGTTAGAAATTAGAAGGAGATTATTTCTTAATTATCGAGTACAACCAAATTAAAAATAACTTCCTCCAAAAACAGTTGTGAATGACAATGAGTCGAGTCGACTCAAGTTCATCTAATTCAAAATAGATAGATCCATTAGACGTATTAGACTCGTTTGATAATTAAAAAAAATATTCAAAGAAGAATTTTTAAATATAATTATATTAAAAAAAATAGAAATATATTTTTGAAGAATAATCGATTTTAATTTGTGTCCAATTTGAAATTGAAGTCCCTAAACTCAATATAGACAGACCCGTTTGGCCGTTTCATATTCGAACTGAAAAGGAATGGGAAATTTACAGCTTTTATTCCCTCAAGTTTGTAACGATTTTACATTTGGCTCCTTATGTTCCCAGGAAAACACATTTGATCCCTCATGTTTTAATAATTTAAATATTTTTGGTCATTTTCGTCAATTTACCCTAGTCAGTCAGTTACGGTAGCGATGGAAACACATTTGATTATGTTATTTTTAACAGAAATTTGACAAAAAGGCTAAAAGTGTGGAATTTTTTGAAACATGCAGGACCAAATATGTTTTTGAGGAACATAAGGACCAAATATGGAATTAATGTAAACTTGAGTGGTGAAAACAGTATTTTCCGGAAAAAAAAAAAAGGAATTGAGAGCTTTGGGCCTCCAGAGTAAGAACGATGATAGTGAGGCCCAAGAGTTTGATTTATTCCCGGACAAATACAGTTTTCATCTCTCAAGTTTGAATCGATTTTACATTTGGTTTTACATGTTTACAAAAGAACACATTTGATCCCTCATGTTTAAAAAAATCACCACTTTTAGTCTTTTCCGTTAAAACTAACGGAATCAAATATGTGTCCATCACTACCGTAATTGACGGACTAACGGTAAATTGACGGAAATGACAAAAAATGTCAAATTACTGAAACATGAGAGGCTAAATGTGTTTTTTTAACATGGGGACCGACTGCGTAATCATTACAAACTTGAGGGGTGAAAACTTTAAATATCCCGATTTATTCAGATTCCTTTCGTAACACAAATCAAAACGTTTCTTCACAAAAAAAGAAACAAATCGTGAAGCAGCAGGCGGAAATTTCCGAGTAGAAGATCAATCAAATCCACTGTTTCAGGTTTTGCAGAAATCGAAGGAGGAGCAGAGCAATTGGTTTAATTACAAGACTGCCATCACTCTATTTCTCAACAGGTCTTTTTTCTTGTCTCCTTTACTGTTCGAAATGAATTTCGATTTCGTGTTTTTTATCAGTGGATTAATGCTTAGAATTGAAAACTGTCGGTGGGATTGAAGCTGTGTGTAAATTACCCAGTCTGAAATTTATTGTAAAATTCATTTGAATCTGCAGTCGACACTGGATAGGCAAATATCAGATTGATGAAATAAAAAAAAAAAAAAAAATTGATTTGGGGATGATGATACAGTGCCAAAAAATACAATAATTGTTTGCCTTTTGGTGTTGATTTTAGTGAGATGTTGAATGTAAAATCATACAAGTACAGTTTTTTAGTGAAGTATGTTCAGTTGACTTTGTGGAAGATGAACTGTGAAACAGTGAAACTAGATTTTGGTTAGCTAATATGTTTTCGATCACACTCGAGCCGATAATTAACTGCTCGTGATTGACGAAATTTGCATCTCCCTTTTTAAGGAAAAATTAGTTGATCATGGTTACATGGGCTCGATAGTTGCTACATAGCTTTCATCGATCAAGACGAGCTATTTGTTTTTATGCAGCTCTTTGGCCTGCAAATTTGTTTTCACCAAATGCTGTATCATTTCTTTTTTTTACGGTTTTCTATTGTTCTAGTGAATCCGTTTTCTTCCTATCTTTGTGTTTTACTTCTCGTTTTCGTATTTATTCTTTCGAAGAATTTCCTATGTATCATATTGCTCCTGTCTTTCCGACAAATTTGAATGTAAAGTATTTAGAGTCCTCTACTTTAGTTTGCACGTATTAGGTAACGAGTATATGATCTGAAATTTGATATATTATCTTTTCCTTACTCACAACTAGACTATAAATTTTCCCGTCTAGAAAGACAAACAAACATTGCTGAATTCATTCTCTCAATTTGTTTGTTCATTTTTTCCCCAATCAGAGTGAGAAAGAAGAGAGAGAGAGAGAGAGATCCGACCCGGCACGACCATGTCGACCACTTCCATCCTGTTAATCCTCCTCTCACTCGCCTCACTCGCCGCCGCTGAGATCCGCGTCTCGGAAATCCGATCCGACGCCCGCCCCATCATCCCCTTCGACGAGTTCGGTTTTACCCACCGCGGCCAGTTGGAGCTCAACATCACCCGCCTCTCCCTATCGGGGACCACCCCTGACCTGCCGGCGCTCTCCAAGGTAGGGTTCTTCCTCTGCACGCGTGACGCGTGGCTCCACGTGCTCCAGCAGATCGAGGACGCCGAGATCAACTGCGCCCTCGGATCCGACGTCGTACACAGGGTCTTCACCTTCGACCGCCTCCCCGACCTCACCACCGCCGACGTAAATTTCCTATACGCCGAGTCCGTCGCCGATCAGTACACGCTCGTCTTCGCCAACTGCCTCTCGCAGCTCAAGGTCTCCATGAACGTCCGCTCCGCCATGTACAACCTCGAGGACGGAAAGTCCAACCGCCGCACTAACTCTCCGCCGGCA